GAGGATCGCCTGCAGGGAGAAGAGACAGAAAACAAATCAGAGATCGGCCAGACAAGAACAATGGGGGCTCGGCACGACGATTCCTCCAAACACCCTCCGGGGGGTCACATTGTTCAGGGAACAAAGTCCTCCCAGTGCTACAGAGTCTCACTCCCCTCGCTGAAATCTCCCCTCACATCACAGACGTGGAATGAGGAGGAGAGGGAACTGCGCCTCTGACATCCGGCTCATCGCAGGACATCCACTGCAGGGCCACCGGGCTCCTGAGACACAGGAACAGTAGGGGCCCCATATGGACTAAGGGCCACCCCCCCAGGACACTGGCTGAGAAGCACTGGAGGCGGAAACGGCTACACAACAGCCGCCGGAACTACATCGACTCACCACGGTGATGCTGACGGCGTCCTCGTACTCCTTGGTGATGACGCTGACGAGGGCGGAGCCGAGCAGGAGGAGGATGAGCGGATTAGTGAACTGAAAGAGAGAGAGAAAATATATTGATTTCCGATCGATCAGATCCCATCCCCCCCCCCATACAACCCCACCGCAGGGACAGCAGAGAGTCATGTGACCAGAGGCTGCAGTCCTCCTGAATCGGGTTCCTGTGATAGGATGCGATTGTCGGGATCACAGAGAGTTCTCACCTGTCCCAGGTACTTCTTCCAGACCGGATCGGCGCCGTCCACCTGAAACTCATTCCAGCCGTGCTTCACCCGCCGCTGGAGGACCGCGCACTCAGACAGTCCAGTGTTCACCTCCACCTGAGAATAGAGAGCGTCAGAGGGGCAGGAATTGGGGGTGATCTGAGGGGGGGGGGTGCAGGAATTGGGGGTGATCCGAGGGGTGCAGGAATTGGGGGTGATCCGAGGGGTGCAGGAATTGGGGGTGATCCGAGGGGTGCAGGAATTGGGGGTGATCCGAGGGGTGCAGGAATGGGGGTGATCCGAGGGGTGCAGGAATGGGGGTGATCCGAGGGGTGCAGGAATGGGGGTGATCCGAGGGGTGCAGGAATTGGGGGGACACCTGTAAATATTTGGTGACGTCCTCCTCGCTCAGGCGGCTGGCCTCCTTGGATGTTAGGGGCGGGACGACATCCTCGGCGTGTTCCACAGATTTCAGCTCGCACTGATCATCCGCCTGAGGAGAGAATATCGGCAAATCAGAGGAAGGAGCTCAGAGGGGGAGGGGCATCTTATGAAGTATAGGGAGCCTCAACAGTGGCCCCTGACAGCAACAAAGGGCCCCACATAATATTCATTATATGAGAGGAGACGGTCAGAGACTGTTAGAGAACACGGACATTACGGCTTCTTTACCAATGAATGCTACAACAACAGACTGCGAGGATCTGTGAAGGGCCACATGTGGCCCCTGGGTTTCAGGAAGTTGGGCTTTACACGGATCCATACACACCATCATCCCTCAGATCTCACAGCCGTGACCGTCCCACCAGAACCGCCCTTCCCATG